TAACACATATATATATATGTGTGTGTGTGTGTTTTTAAATAGAATGTTTTGGGGGTGGGGTATAGCTCAGCAGTAGAGGGCGTGCTTAGAATGAGTGAGGTCCCAGGTTCAATCCTCAGTATCTCCATTTTAAAAAATAGTAATAAAATAAAATAAAAATAAAATTTAAAAACCTAAAAAAAGAAAACAAAAAAAAGTTTTAAAAATTTGACTCTTTTAAAGTGATTTTTTTTAAGCACCTTAAAAAATCACTTAAAAAAAAATCACAGTGCTCGTCAAGGGAGAATGCAAACAGTGCATTGTTCTTCCAGTGAACAGTATTCTCTCAAATTCTTAACCTGGGAGCAGAGGAGCATGAAGTCTGAGTAGGGATGAATCTTTCCCCAGGCAGAATTATCAACCAGTGTTAATATGCCATTGGTGTATACTGTATGTTCCTCTGCTGGATTCTGAGAAGCTTGGCCTGAATAAGAACGAACACAGCTTATGCTGGAAATAGCTGATAAACCAGTGAAACAAATGACAAAAATTTCAAACGATGACAATAACTATGTTGATGAAAAATTAATCAGCCGAGCTAAGAAAGAAATGGACGTTAAAAGTTTTTATATATTTTTATTGAAGTATACTCAGTTTACAATGTTGTGTCAATTTCTGGTGCACAGCACAATACTTCAGTCATATAGGAACATACATATATTCTTTTCATATATTTTCATATTCTTTTTCACCATAAGTTACTACAAGATATTGAATAGAGTTCCCTGTGCTATACAGTATGAACTTGTTTATCAGATTTTTGTGAGAATCGTCTTGTATTTTGAAACGAGAGACACTCTGCCAGAGTTCAGTAGGTGTTCTGTGCGATTCGGTGGGTTTGTAGATGCAATTCTTGGTGTATTTGTGGGAGAGGGTGAGCTGTGAGTCTCTCTTCTCTGCCGCCTTGGCTCAAACTCCCCGGAAATTTTTATTCGAGCCAAATTGGAGGATTATAACCCGGGAAGAGCATCTCAGAAAGCTCCAAGAACTGTTCCAGTGGTCAGAGATCAAGGCACAGTTTTCTAAGTCTTTTTGAGACACAGGGCTGTACATCAAATAACGTATCGCTGACAGTTTACATCACGCAGATCTAAGCGGCATGTTGGTGGGTCATGTGACCTCTCACAAGATCAAGAAGGAAGGCTATCTGTAAGGGACTGTCTTGTTGATGCTGGGGGAACGTTGCTCTTTATGGTGGAGCAGGTATTTCTGCTGATGGGGTAGGTTTGGTCGATGCAGAATGCAGATACACACTACGCGGTGTTGGAGAGAGAGGCCAAAGGGCAGAAGAATTTTTTATGGTTAGATTTTTCCTTGTTTTGCCATAAAATAAGAATTTTATTTCACAACTAGAAGGAAAAGAAGAGGTTAAAGGGATAGCAAGCGACTTGGAATGGAGGGCCCAGTATTGAGGAAGATGACCGTCTCTCTTCTCTCTGAGGAAGTGATGATGGAGTTGAGACTGAGGGATCTGATGGCTTCGGGCGTGGTACAGGCCCGGGGACGGTCGTGCACAGGAGAGCAAGTTTTGGGTGGAAACGAGGGAGAGTTCACTGGGGCTCAGAGAGCAAGGGGAAGGTACAGGCACAGAAGGAGGTTAGAAGCAGGAACGCATGAACATCATCTGGTTTTCATCTGGCTGCTGTGTGGAGCCCGAGTTCTAGATTTAGTCGAGGAAGTCAGAGACCGATGAGGCGGCTGCAGGAGCCTCAGCCAGCGCTGATTGTGACGTGGGACTTGTGAGTCGCGGGGAGACTGCTCTGAGGATGGAGTCACAGGCATCCGCTGCCCCTCAGCTGTGCCGTCCAATGCGCCAGCCTCTGGTCGTGTGTGGCTAATTATGTTTCCATTTGAATTAATTCCAAGTGAAAATTGAGTTCCTCCCTTGCCCTAGCCACCCTGCAAGGGCTCAGGAGTACGTAGCTACCCTGTTGAGCAGCACCTCCATCACCGCGGACAGTTCTGTTGACCAGAGCAATGTCCCCGTGGTCCGTTCTATACAAATCCTTCCTTCCTCTCTCTCAGAAGGGCAACCAAACCGCCATAGACTTCACTTAATGCCTATTCTGCTAAGGACTGAGAGTGGAGGGGAATTGTGTCCTGAAGAGGTTCATGGCTTTGGAGAATTAAGCACAATCAAAGATGTAACCCTGGATTTGGGGAGAGTTGGAGGGAAGGTGCCAGGCACGATACCCACATAGCGGAGTCATTTGGGTGAGTTCAGAGTCCATATGGAGCAGGGCAGGGTATAGCTCAGTGGTGGAGCATGTGCTTAGCATGCATGAGGTCCTGGGTTCTATCCCCAGTACCTCCACTAAAAATAAATAAACTTACTCCCCACCCCCCCCCAAAAATAAGAAAGCAATAATAAATAAATAAACCTAATAAATTCTCCTCCAAAACACCAAAAGAAAACCAGAACAGTTAAAAAAGAAATCCATATGAGAGCTTAAGGCTCAAAAAGGGTCACAGATGATAATTTGGGGGAGAAAAGAATAATTAGAACAGATGTGCAGTGTCCAGAATTCAGGAAATGATTAGGAGAAAAATTACATCACCTTTGGCTAGCTGTCTGTCAGTCACAGAGCAGTCTGGGGAGTGGGCACCACGAGTGCTCACGACGGGGAGCTAGACCTTTCATCAGTGCGGGGGGAGCTGGGGAAGAGGAGTCAGAGACTCAGGGACAGAAACCCTCACCAGCCCTCCAGAGCTGGACCTGTCGCCCCATCCCGGGGGGGGGGGACTCTCAGAAGCAAGCCCAGCTGGCCAGGTGGTACTTGGGGAGCTCACAGGGAGGTCTTTGGATCCATTGCCTGGTGTGGAAACTGCGCGGCTGAGCAGCAGGGCAGCCTTTAGGAGGACGAGCTGGGCCTGGAGTGGCGCAGGGAGAGGGGGCCCAAGGGTGAGCTGAGCCCACAGGCACCTGGTTCTCTCAGCCCCGTGTGTAACTGTGATAACCCCCAGTGGTCCCGTGGGCCCCCTTCCACCCTCCAATCTCAAGCGAGGTGCTCCTTGCTTAAGGAGCTTGCTGCTTTGGGGGCTTGTACTCACTGCACCCCGCCTCTTGGCCCTGGTGAGTTCCCTCCCCTAAACCTGGGGGAGCCTGGGGAGCCTTTTTTCACCCTGGGCTCCCAGGTTCCAGTAGCCAACAAAGGGGATTCAGCTTTCGGGGGGACATGCCCGGTGCAGCACGAGAGGTGGGGGGGGGGCAGCCTCCTGGAGACTTAGGTGTGGAATCTCGGGTGTGGGAGGGGACTGACCCTCAGCATGGCCGGCATGCGGTGGGGAGCCAGCGTGGCTCAGGCCAGCCCTGGTGTGCTGCTCACACAGCCCTCCCCCCGGCCCCCGTGGAGCCCACATCTTCCCCCTCGAGTACAGAAGGTCGAGTTCTGCTGTTCTCTAATACCACGGAAGCTAGGCGCTGGCAGATCTTCAACTGATAAAACCCAGTGAAGCTGTCATCGTGTGTACCTTCAGGTTGGATCGAGATAGCGTATCCCGTGGTAAAAACAAGAGTAAAATAATTCTGAGAAGTGTGAAACTGTCACCCTTTTTCTAAATGACTTATCCCAACAGACAGGTGGGTTTCCATCCCGGGCCTCCTTCCGTGGGCCTGTGGAGGCCAAGGTCTTCTCACTGCAGTGGTGTGAGGGCTGCTGCCACCCACTGAGCCCCTCCCGGGTGCCACGCGGACTGATCCGTGGACGCGCGCTGCTGCCCCCACCCCGCAGCCCTGCCGTCCTCACCGTCCCCAAGTACACGTGTGAGTGGTGACCTGCCCAAAGCACACAGCCAGTAAGTGTCAGGACTGAGATCAGAGCCCAGGTAGGAAATTGAGAGGGAGCTGGGAGATGACATCCAGGGACACCTAGATACCAGCTGAAAAGTCCCCAAAGGTGAGGACTCGGTATTTGTGTCCTGGGTTAGGGCTGCAAGTGGCGGCCAGGGCTGGGCCTCGCCCAGCGTGTCCCCCAGCACACTTGGGCCACTGTGGGACCAATGTCTGTACCTCTTCCTTCCTCCCTTCCTCTCCCGCATATTCTCTCTCTCCCCGTTTTCTTTCTCGTGTGTGCGTCTGTACGTGTGTGTACGCACGCGCATGCGTGTATGTGTGTGAGATCACCCCTCTGCTCTTTCTGTCTGTATCACAGAATGTTCCGTCTCTTCAGCCAACTTGTAAGTTGCCCGTGGGAGCCCGTCCTTGCACGTGCCTAGAGGCTATGCAAGCATACCCGCACCTGGTCCCTGTTCTTGAGGACTTTCCCCTCCCTCTCAGTTTGGTTTTGGAAACAGTTTCCACTCACAGAAGTAGCTCTGGCAGCTTATAGGATCACCTCTGCTCCTTGAAGCAAGTCCCCACCCTCACTCTGCTGCTGTGTGAAAACCATCAAAACACAGCAGTAACACGGACACCTACCTGGGCGGGCCCGGTCTCTCCCTCCTTGACCCCCACATCCTTCTTGTTTGGGTGCGGCTCTGGGACCTGTGTGCATCATGACCCGCCTGGAGGAGGCCAGAGCAAAAGAGGAGGAGCCCACCTCCTTGAGGAGGCAGTGAGGCAGCTGCGTGCAGAGGAGTCAGGGGGAGGTTGGTGTGTGCGCTCAGGCAGCACCCCCACCCGACCCAGAACGAAGTTCAGAAGCTTGGTGAAATTGCCACAGTGCCGTCCAGTACTGACTCGGATGATGAGCTGGACAGAGGGACAAACGCATATCTCCCTGAAGCAGGGCGGGGCCTGGGGGTGGTTTTGTGACTTCTCCACTCAACTCCTGCCCAAGTCGGGCGGTCATCTTAGCAGGAGCTGGAACCCAAACTGGGCTGTCCTGGCTCTCGGGCCTCACCTGTGCTGGGAGAGCACCTTCAGGGAGCACTCCCTGTCTCCCTCTCCTGCATCAAAGCTTTCATGCTCTCAGGGTGGTCTGAGCAGCTGGGTTGATGGTTTTCTCTCCCTCTTTCTCCAGGGTCAGGTGTGGATCAATGGCTTTAACCTTGGCCGCTATTGGCCAGCGCGGGGCCCCCAGGTGACCTTGTTCGTGCCGCAGCACATCCTGCTGACCGCGGGCCCAAACACTGTCATCGTGCTGGAACTGGAGAGGGCGCCCTGCAGGGACAGTGGCCCGGGACAGTGCATGGTGGAGTTTGTGGACAAGCCGGTTATTAGCGGAGCCCAGACCACCAACCGTCTCAATGCAGACCGAAACTAAGCGCCATGGCCAGAGAGTAACCCTGTGAAATTCTAGTCTTGCACATACCTCACGTTCCCCCTTGGAATGCCAACCTTCACTGGAAAATAGATTCGTGTGGGTGTTATCACCTGAAGTTGCCCTGCAGCCTCCTGGTGCCTGATGTACCCACCTCGTCTGGCTGTGTGGACGTGGGGTTGGGGGGGCGGGTGGCAGTTAGGCACCTGCAGATTTGGAATGGGAGCTTTCAAGGTCTTTCTGATTTTCATTTTGTAAGAATCATGCTGTCTTTTTATTAAATAAAATTTGTGTTCAAATGATATTACTGTTTTTAATGTTGAGCAGGCATTACCTTATAAGTTCTGATTTAAATCATAACTAGACTTGAGTGGGCTGAATAAGCCACTTCACTGACTTGAGGTTGGTTCAAAGGAGTGGAAAATAGTCTTGTTTTGATCTAGTGGACTATTGCTTTTCTGATCCTTGTTTGACTTCCTTTTGAATTTCTATGATATCTACTAGGTGAGCCCATAAATAAAACTTAAAATGATTCTGCAAACGACGGGCTGGTGGAGAGCCAGCCAGCCTGGTGCTCTGTGCAGGACTAGTTGCGGAGACGCTAAGACGGTGAGGGAGACCTGTATTTATTTACATGAAAACACGTTCACGGTATGTCATGTGAAAAAAGCAGATCACCTTAAGCTTGAGCCCATTTTGTGCGTTTAGACATAAGAGCTGCACATATGCACACACTCAGCCCAGGCCTGTACGCATGTCAGCAAACACATGCACACGTGTGCAATCACTGTGCACGTACTTGGACGTGGAGGGGTGCGTGAGACGCCTGGGGCACCCTGCTCTCACATGTTGGGCACCTGTCCTCCACCACCCCCTGTTCTGAGCATACTGTACATTTGTAACCCACTCATCCCTCACAACAACTCTGAGTAACATACTGTCATCTTCCCTAATTTACCAGGTCACGTGTCTATAAGTGGCAGAGACAGGATTTGAACCCTGATTGTCTGGCACTGGTGTCCTGATGCACGTGGCATCCATCGTCCATCAATGCATGCTCACACTCCCCCAGGACGGGACTGCAGCGACGTACACAGAATCACCAACATGAGCATATCTGGGTGGTGAGTGTTTGAGACATCATTTACCTTTTCTTTTTGGCTAACCTGTATTTTAAACCCTCTACAGAGAACATGTACATTTTTTTAAGGGAGGAAAAAAGGAAAGATTTCTGATGCTAATGTACAGCATCTTTTCATGGGGGGGGTGTTTTTCTCTGTCTCCTTGACATCATGAATGACTATCTGGGATTCAATGGGGAGTTTTGAAACTCTAGTGGAGCCGCTGCAGGAGGTGGATGAGGGTGGAGACAGACTGAGACTGGACTTCTACTCAGGACCATCTTCCATGCATCTTTTGCTGGATGCCCTGCATCCCTTGGATGTTGGGCGCACCCCAGGGCGAAGGGCTGCTGCATGCACCCACAGCCTCATTGCATTGCTCCTTCCACCACTGAGTTATGGAACACTTAGAAAGTGTTCATGCAGGATCCGTGCCCAGTGATACACTTTGGGAAGCTGTGAGACAGTTCCCTTTACAGCCGTGTGCGCACCGGTAACTGTACGTCCCCTGTCCCAGAGACTCCCTGTCACAGGGGCTCCAGAGGCACAGACAGTGGAGTGAAACCCCCCCATCAGAGTATACGTTTCCCTTCCCTTCTCTTGTCTGCTCTTCAGAACCACAGCCTACAACAGGCAGCAGTAAGCCCATGTCACAGATGAAAACACTGGCGCTTCAGCGAGGGGTGGCATGCACTCCAGTCCTGTCGATCCCCATCCAAAGCCAGAGTCTGAAAACACTGGCGCTTCAGCGAGGGGTGGCATGCACTCCAGTCCTGTCGATCCCCATCCAAAGCCAGAGTGTCTCGTCTTGTTCGTGTGAGGGAATCTTTCGGGGCTCTTACAGCACCATGACGTCGTTGTTCAGAATGTCATCTTCTGGAAAACAGAGCTTTAGTACATAAATGGTACCAGTGGACTCTATGCAAACCCGTTCAACTCTCTGGAACACCTCTTAGGGACATACATTTCATTTTCAATGTCATTCCTTCTTTTTTTTATTATTATTGAAGTATAGTTGATTTACAATGTTGTGTTAGTTTCTGGGGTACAGTATAGTGATTCAATTATATATATATTCTTTTTCTTCAGTATCATTCTTAAAATACAATGTGCCTTCCGACATTCCTGATTTCTTTTTCTTCCTTGCTTCCTTCCTTCCTTCCTTTCCTTCTTTCTTTCTTTCTTCCTTTCTTTCTTTCAAAGTGGAGGAACTTGGGATTGAATCCAGGACCTCGTGCATGCTAAGCATGTGCTCTGCCCCTGAGCTACACCCATTCCTGATTTCTTGACTCTGTAAGGATGCTACTTCTGAAAATAATAAGGGCAGTACCTTTATTGCCTGCTCTGTACACCTGTTCTGTTAAATTTATCTCAAGCTGATTTTAATATTTCAAAGCTTTCTAAGCAGGCTTGAGCTAACCCAATGGTAACCCCGGCGTTCCTGGAACATTACCCTATTTCCAGCCGTCCTTGGGAACATCATGGCCTTTTCCTTTGTACCCTCCGTTTAGATGTACAGCCTCCGGAAAATCTTGTTTTGAATAGCTTTATTGCAGTATGATTTACATACCATAAAATTCACTCCTACTAAGGTACAGTTTGATGAGTCTTACTTAAACTTACACAGCCACCACCACAAATCAGTTTCAGAACACTTCTTTCTCCCCAGACGGTTCTCTCGTGCAGAAAGTCCTCATTTCCACCCCCTACCAGGCAAACACTAATCTGTTTTCTGTCTCTGTAGCTTTGTCTTTTGCAGGAATTTCATAGAACTGGGATCACAATATGTAGTCTTCTGGGTCTGACTTCTTTCACTCAGAATGATGTTTGAGGTCCATGCCTATTATAGCATGTTCAGGAATTTTTTTTCCTTTTTCCTGCTGAGGAGCAGCCCACGTGTGGACAAACCACAGTTTGTTTATCCATTTATCAGCTGAGGGGCATCTGAATTGTTTCCAGTCTGAGGCTTTTAGGAATAATGCTGATCTGAAATCCAGGCACCATTCTTCACGTGATCAACTGTTCTCATGTCCCTTGGGTGGAAACCTAGGGGTGGAATTGTTCAGTCACATGATAGATGTGTTTTAACTTTTTAAGAAACTGCCAATTTCAGAGCATCTTTTTTTTTTTGGTGGGGGGATATAATTAGGTTTATTTATTTGTTTGTTTGTTTTGTTTATTTATTTTTAGAGGAGGTACTGGGGATTGAACCCAGGACCTTGTGTGTGCTAAGCATGTGCTCTGCCACTTGAGCTATACCCCGCCCCTCAGAGCATCTTTTTTGAGGCTGGAAGGAATGCAGGAGCATCCGAGTCACGCTTGGTGGAGCCCTGCGGTGCTGGACTCGGTGCCCTTCCCTCTTCTGTCTGTCTCTGCCCTGCTGTGTCAGCCTGGTCAGTGTTTCTCTCTCTGTCAGTTGTTGTTTCTCAGCAAATCCAGTTAATTCAGAATGAAATTCTTTCGTGTTTAGCCAAGTTTGGGTTTTCTTTCATTGTTTCCCCAACAAGCAATCGGTCTTCTGTCAGATGACACAAAATAGGAAATGATCTTGTGTGGTCTTTGTTTCTTGCCTTATTATCATTTAAAGAAAAAAAAAGTCATTTCCTGAAATCACTTTTGCAGTCAGGGTGAGGGATTCTGTCTAGTCTGCGGTAGAGGAGACGGCCCGTGTGGACTGGGCGCTCGTGGGCCGTGAGGAAAGTCTGGCCAGTGTCCAGATGCTCAGATGAGGTGGCTCTGGGTTAAGCCGGGCCTCTGCTCTCAGTCTGACTGGGCGTTTTCCCGGGTTGTCCCCTCCCCACCAGCCTTCGCGCCCTGAGGTTTGTTAATCAGATACGAGGCTAGCAGCCGTCAGATTGTCTGTAAATACCCAGTGAGGGTCTGAACTGGTTCCCCAGCAGACAGCTGCTCCACCTACCCACCCCTGGGGCTCTCCCTGGGTGAGGAAGCCCCCAGGAGCCCCAGTGCCCTGACTGGGAACCCCCGCGCCAGCAGCACCGTCCCCCCGGTGAAACAGACGGGCTCGGGGACAGACACAGGGCCCCCGCTCACTCCATCACTTACCGTCGGCATGATCTCAGGCAAGTGATTCACTTGTTAAGCCTCACTCTTCTCATGTCCTAAGTGTGGTTCCCACTTGTGGCGTTTTCACATCCAAGGCAGTCCTCACAAAAGCCCCTCGTGGCGCTCCTCGTGTGGTCTGCGCTTGCTGAAGGCTAGCTGGATTCTTTCCCGTCGCGCTCCTCCTCAGAAGCACGTAAACAATCATCTGGAAAGCTGGGGGCCCGCAGGGAGGAAAAGCCACCAGGAGGCACCAGCCTCTCCAGGGATCCCCTTGTGTTCAGATCAACAACGTGCCTCTTCAGACCAGACACCGTGCTTGGCTGAAGGACGCAAAGCCAAAAAAGACAGTCTGGTATCAAACACGGAAAGAGACTGGAAAGGAGGGAGGGAGGCTCCAAGGAACAGAAGAAGGTGGGTCGTCCCTCAGGACCCGCCAGCACAAGCCCGACCTTGCTGGGGGCAGCCTGCGCTGATGGAAAACCCTGGCAACTCACTGAATTCCTCGTCCAAAGGGCATTTCTCCCCACTGAGTGCTGTTCTGGTTGTGGTCAATACGTTTGCATAAGTGCCATGAAGCAACTATTTTGTGATGCCCGTGATCCCACGGGTCAGGAACTCGGACAGGCCCAGCAGCAGGATGGCTTGTCTGTTCCATGACTTCTGAGGCCTCTGCTGGGTCCTGGAATCATCTGGAGTTTCCCTCACTCCAGACAGCATTTGGGCTATGATCTCATGGAGGGAAGAACCTTTTACAGAAGTAGGGCACGTGATACGCAACCCAATTTTCAGTTCAAGAAAATTGAGAGATAGGAAAGATTGTGATTTACCCAAAATTGGGGGCGCTGAACTGAGACTCGAGTCTCTGGCCTCTCAAGCCCACACGTCTCCCTTGATGGACAGGGCTGCAGGGAGAAAGTGTTGTATTCTACTTGATAAAACTCAAAATCACAGGAGAACAATATTTCAGCCACGTCACCTGGCTGACCATCAGGCTGGGTGTGAGCTGTAGCCCCAAGGGTGTGCGTGTGTGTTATGGTGAACACAGGTCGGGAGGTGTGGAACCCTCTACCCTGGAAGATGACTCGCTTCCAAGGCCGGGACTCCCTCCCCGACAAAACCC